CCGTGAGCATTTCCGTGAGTGCATCCCGGGCAAGGAATGGATGTTTCTTTCTCTCTCTGTGTGCTCTATGTCCTTTCTCCTTTGCGTGTGAATGTGACCCACCCTATAAACGGGTTGTGAGAATGGCGTGGCAGAAGTCGAATTGATGGCGCCATAGATGGCGCCACTGAGAAACAGGAACAAACGCACGCCCACTGCCCAAATAGGCATACGACCAAAAAAAAAANACAAAAAAAAAAAAAAAAAAACTCAGTTGTGATTCGCTAAGCATTAAGCTTCTACGCACTTATTACAAAAAATAAATCAATAAAAAAATAAATAAATGAAAAAATAAATAAATTATAATAATAGAAAATAAAAATTTCTTTGACAAAACAGTTTTTATTTATAGTGAAGAAGAACCTGTTAAACAAAAATTATTATTTTTAAAAATATCCTCCTGAAATCCAAGCTTAACATCATGGCAGAAAACGGAATTTTTATTTAGAAATAGGTAGCTTAGAAGAAAGTAAACTGTAAATATAATCGGAGATTTTAATTGAAAAAACTTAAATGAATGAAACTTGATTAAGGTCTTTTAAATATTTTTAAATATTACATAACAATAATAAACTTTAATTTTTTGCATTTTTTGAACATTGTGAGATATTTTAATAGTGTATTTCTTTGACCATTTTTCTACTTTTCTTCGAACAGTATTTATAAAAGCGATAACAAAAATACTTATGATTATTCTAATATAAAATTAGAAATTGTTTTTTCTTGTCAGAAAGACGATGGATATAGCTAGAGAGCTTTCAAAAATCATTAACAACGCATTATTAAAGTATTTACAATAACTTGTTTTAACGTTTTTTTTCAAAATCTTAAACTTTTAAGTAAAAATGAATCTATTAACTAGATTAATAAGTGCTCCTAAAGTGATTGCATTGGATTCATGTCATTGTTTTCAACTTTAATGAAATTGAATTCTAAGCTTACCGAGAAGTTCTTAAAAAACTTAAAGCCAAGAAACTTAAAATGAAATATCAGTACTCGAATTATTTTAAGAAAATGTTTAAGAAGGTCTATGTTTGCGAAAAAAATAGATTTTGTCTCAAAATGTTCTTTTAAACAGTATTCATAAAAGCAAAATAAAAAATATTTATGATTATTTTAGTATAAAATTAGAAATTGTTTTTTCTTGTCAGAAAGACGATGGATATAGCTAGAGAAAGGGGGTACATGACACCCCTGGCCAATTCAACACTTCTTCCATTAATGCTTTTGTCTTTGGCTACACAAAAAAACTCGCCATCGCCAACTCAGTCACCATCAACAGTCAACTCTGAATATGATTATATCATAGGTAAGCTAGACATGAAAATAACCCTTCGCCACCCACCATTTTCTGGTCATAAAATAGTGTTTTCTTTAAAGTAATAAATTTGTTTTTTTTTTTTCTGATCTTTTTCATAAAATTTCAAACACAGCAGCTTTCTTTTGCAAAAGTTTCTATTTTACAGTTAAAAGACCGCATTTTGTAGAATATATAATAATATTTTGAATAAAACATTTGTTCTCTAACTAAGAAAAAAGCTTATACTTTTTTTTCGTTTCTCTAAAACAACTCAATTTTCATTAAAGTTTTTGAGCTTGCCTTGCATGTAGTTTTTGGTAAAATGCTACGAATTGCATACTTTGAAAAATATCATAAAATTAAATAATAAAAAATTCGATTCTTTTTAATTTCTCCCTAAAATTAAATTAAATGAAAAATTAACTTAAAAATTCTTTGCATTACATTTAAGTTTGGAGAAACCAATTGCTTAAAAAATGTAGAGTTTATTTTATTATAATTTTTTACACACTTTTGAGAAATTTGAATTAAAAGTTGTTCCGTTACAGGAAGTGTTTGACTTTGTATGATTGCATCCAGGGCTCGTGAAAAGCCGATTATAAATTACAAGAAGCAATATTTAAAGTTAAATAATATTTTTTTTACTTTTACAAGTACAATAATAACTTGCACCGCTTAGGAGTTTTTTTTAAAAAAAATTATCCTTTAATTCCTTTCTATGTTCAGAAAGTTTAATCTATTATAATTTTCTGAATATGTGCTGGAAAGAAGACATTTTCCTACATGCTTCAATCTTTATACTTGGAAAATCTGTGTAAAAATAAAATTAAAAAAAACTAAATAAAATTTAGCCACCGCAAAGAGTGACAACTAAGAATATTGGATTGTTTGTGGCGTACCTACACTATGAAAATTAAAGATCAATTCACTGGTATATAAGACATGCTTACTTGATTCAATCATGGGTGAAAGCCCTTATATAGCAAGACGGAAAAGAGAAAAACCTGGTACGTAAAATATTTCCTTCCAGCATTTTTTTCGAAAAAAATGAAATATCTGTAACTATCAAGATTTCTTTTATAATTCTGGCATATATATAAAACTGCTTCTTTTCCAAGATAAAGTAGATATTGTTGAAAAATTCAAAAAAAGAATAAGTAAACTCCTCCCCAAAACTAGCTATAACTGAAATGGTTTTAATACCAGCCTTTCCTCTTTTCCGTCTCACTTTCACCCCTGGATTCAATTAAGAGGTACCTTATGATAGATGAAGGTTGGCATGGTCGATTACTCCGCCCCCACATTGGTGACCTCCGGTCGTGATTTGAACGCGCAGTAACGCCCACTTCCAAAAAATATTCACAGTAACGCCTACTTCGTTGGATGATCCACATTGAACAGTTGACTTGCTACTTGTGATTGCGACATTATCAATCTCCTCACGCTGTTGCTACTTAGTCTGACTCGACAAAACACAACGTCTGCCTGCATACACTCGACTGCTAATGGCAACACAGGAGCGACTACGACTGTGACGTTAATACACCTCTCACATTCAGCAAAAAATCCGGTGACCTTGAAACCAGCTCTACCGGTCTTTCACAAGTACAGCATTTAGTGGTATCCGTTCATCGAATTCTATTCCTGAGAAAATTCTGGTGGGGGAGTATTGTTGCGTAACTACCACTATGAAAATTAAACATCAATTCATTGTATATAAGACATGCTAACTTGATCCAATCAAGAGGTACCTTTTGATAGATGAAGGTTGGCATGGTCGATTACTCCGCGTACACAACTTTAAAGTATACATCTTTCAAACTAATGAAGAATTCCTATTTTAAAATATTCTAGTTGGAGCTGGTTCTGGAGGTTCAACACTTGCAGGACGTCTATCCGAGTTACCATGCGTTAGTATTTTGTTGTTGGAAGCAGGAGGGATACCACCTATACTGAATGATGTACCAAGCCTTAGCAGATTTTTCTTTTTTACAGACCTTGACTGGGCCTACAAGACTGTTCCACAGAAGCATACAGGAAGACTCCTCACCAACAGAGTAAATACTGGGTTGGAAATTAAATTCCTGCCATTTTCTAATAACATTAAATAGTTTTAGCAAAATGATTTAGATAGTTCAAACGAGGATGTTTGGTTCGAACAAAATCTATGTAATATAATTTTTTGTACAAGAAAATTTATATTAATTTTCATCGATATAATATGATTTTAATATAATTCATGTAAATAATTTAATTTAATCTATATAATATAATTTTTTGTTTAAGAAAAATCATATTAATTTTCAGATCCTTAAAATGGAAGATCAAATTGAAAAAAATGAGCATTTTCGTCACATCCTTTTTGCTTTTAATTTAGGTTTTAAGACCACAGAAGTTTGTGACATTTGTGCTGTGTGTTGATAGGGAGGCATACACTAAAAGAACCAGTCATGATTGGTATACCAAGTTTAGAAATGGACATTTTTACCGTAACGCAGCACACTGTTAAAAATTCTAGATTAAATAACGGTAAAAAGTACTGAGCACTCTGATGCCTGATTGCAGCATGCGTAAAATTTTATCTGCATTTTTTTAAATCGTAAAATTCATTTTGTCCATAAAATCTTATGCAACAGTTTTCTAGCAATATTTATTTACTTACAGTGATTTAATGGTTCTACAGTGAATATTAATGTATATAAAAATTACGGTATGTCAGATTTTGTTCCATAAAATTTTTCTATGAAATTACAGTCCAATTTACAGTATCTTGAGAGACGATACTTTTTTCGCAATTTGATCAGGAATTATTTACCGTAACCCTCGTTCTGGGCATGCATTTGAATTCTATGCATGTGATTAAACATATTTTCACACGAAAATTAGCGATAAACGATAAAAAATACTTTTTCTAGCAGATAAAAGGTAACGCTCTCTCTCTCCAAACTTTAAAAAAAAAAAAAAAACCCAACTGGAATTTAATTGCCAACCCTAGATTAAGCAAACTTACTTATATTCCTTTTCCCTAGGGGACATTTTGTTTTCCATTGTCGATAGCCAAAAAGCAGTGCGGTGAGTCAGTGAATGCCATAAATTAATCCAGCCTCCCAGACAAAATAAGCACTCGTTGTATAATGTTTTTATTTGCATTTTGCAACAAAATTGATGGAAACTAAAGAGAACGATCTTTTGAGCAATATTCCTGTATTCTTGTTTTGTCATCTCTTCCGTGTTGTCGTGACATTTCGTCATGTTTCAGCATTGCTTCCCCGGCCGCCTCTTACTTTCTAGACAAGTTGGTACTCTCCGGCTTAAAGTTTTGTGAAACCGAAGCGGGAAAAATAAACTATGGATCAACACAATATACTTTGAGTGCCTTAAATAATTATCGCGGTTCATCAGTATCTTGAACTTCATAATAGATTAAAAGTGTCAGATTTATTTTCATTAGGTGTATTCTCGAATTATAAAATGAACTCTGTCATTTGCAGCAACTGATATGGCCCAGTGGTAAGGGACTTGGAGGAACAAGTTTGATAAATGGCATGGAGTATGTGCGGGGAAATAAACGTAATTATGATGACTGGGCTGCACAAGGTGCTGAAGGATGGAGCTATGAGGATGTGCTGCCTTATTTTAAAAAAATGGAGAGCAACAAAAATCCAGAATACTACGGAAATGGTATTATAAGTTACAATTTGTACATAATTATGTAAAGTTTCTTTCTCATTTTCTGATAATGAATGCATATTCAATATATTTTATAGGGTATCATGGATTAATGGGTCCAGTAACAGTTGAAAAGTCAAATTATAAAGCAGAATTTAAAAATCCCATTCTTGAAGCAGCTCGTGAACTTGGTTATCAAGTGATTGATGTAAACGGAGATAAGGAAACAGGTACAAATATATTCGTCAATAAATGCTTTTTTTTTGCATAAATGAAGGACTTATAATGCAAACCACATTTTTAATTTGTCCAGGAGAGTATTTTTTGTGAAGAAACAGTAAGACTTTCATGTAGATAAGATGTTTTTGTATATAATGCCGCCATCTCGTAGAAACATCTCAAATAGGAAAATAAAGGGAACAATCTGATAAAAATGTCCTATTTGTAAAAAAAAGTAATTTACTACACATGTGATTTTTTAAGAGGTCCAAAACTGCTTTAAAATGTCCTGAATTTCTTCTAAATATCCTTTTTATTCAAGGTACCAGAGAAATGCAATTATATTCAATTTTTATCGATAAAATCAGAATATTTCAATTGAATCATTAAATTTTAAAAGTTTCTAAATATATGCCTTTTTTTGTTATTAGAAAACAAGTATGTAACTTAAGTAATTACACTGCAGAAACTGTGGGAAAATATCTCTCCGAATATGACATTGGCCAGCTCAAAAAATTGTGTGAAGAAACACTTTATTACCAGTTAACACGAAATTGAGCTTTCCTAAGCAATTGAAAAGGTATAATTTAAATCTAAACACTTAAAATGGAATAAACTTACTCATTTACACCAAAGAAGAATTATTTTCACTTCCTAAGACACCGATATTGGTGATCTTTGAATACCGCTAACAAATTGTTTACGATAGAGAAGGATTTGGCGCGAGTTGGCTGTCAAAACAAAATGAACCATATGGTGTGAGTACATCGACCAGCACTCACGCTGTATGGTTCATATCGACCGGTTTACAGTTTAAATATGTATGTTTTTAGCCGTCAGTAAGGATAATTATATTTTAATTTTTAAATCTCTGTGAACAACTCTATGAGGTTATTATTGTTAGTAAGTAATTTTATCATGTATAATTTCTATCTTCTCCTGTTCTGTTAACTCTCCTTCGATTTCGTCTTTATATTCTCTCTGTGCGTTACGCATATATTTGATTTGCAAACAAATTTTATTTTAAGAATTATTAAGGATATGCATCTTAAATTGATGATTCTTATTTTTTATTGTAACGTAAAATTAACTTTACTGATTCCCATGTATATTTTATCTTACGGCAATTATAAATACTTAGAGGCTCCACCCTGTTCGCCACTGTAATTTTAAATTTATTGACTGAACACAAAAAAAATGGTGGTGGCTACTTAACCCCAAGAAAGGATAAACTAAATACACTTTTAAATACAGAACTATAGTTATTAAGTAACAAATTACGTAAAATAAAAATTTTATAAGATAAAACTTATATACAAAATAGCAATTGTTTGAAAGAATCATAGCAAAAATACTACTAAAAATGTGGTTGTTTTTAGGGGCCATAAATTGATTCGAATGCGCATGAAAATATGTGCTGGCAATATGTGCTAACAAACAAAAAATGAATAAGTAAAGTTATAACAGTTATAAAGTAAATAAAACTTCATGCACTGTAGAAATTTTAGTTTACCTCAATACAAATGATAGCGGCAACTATGCAACAAAAGTTTTTATAGTGTCATAGCAACCGTTTTTGGAGTTAAGATACATGAAAATTTTTTCAGTGTAAGAAGGAAAAATTGATTCATTTTTTATACTTATTGCTTTTTTTCTTTTTTTCGCAGTTTAAGATTTCTAACTTCTGTGTTTGAAATAAGTGCATATTTTTATGACTTCGCCAGTAATTTAAGGAGACTTATAATTGTAAAGAATTCATTTCTAATCTTTATTGATGAAACTTAAGCAACCTTTTTGAAAAAATCTAAACATCATGTTGTGTATAAGATTTTCATGCTCAGAATCTTATGAGTAAGTTACAAAAACGTTATTAAAATCTGACGAAATGTTGTCAAGGTCTATCATTTTTTTTAAAACTAAAACTATACATAAAAAATAAACAATGT